TTAGCATACCTACCCCTTTGAAGCCCTCACCCTTTAGCATACCTACCCCCTTAAAGCCCTCACCCCCTATCCCACCACCACTCCTGAAACCCCCTACCCACCCATCATCCCCCACAACCCTCGCCCCCTCCATTACCACCACCACCACCACCACTACTATTCACAGCCCTCACCTGCCCCCACGCTTCCCAACCCAATTAACTGCTGCCCATCCCGCCCTGCACCCTATTGCCACCCACCCCCCAACCCATATGAGTCCACCCAACAGGCTCACCCGTCCTTACCCAATAAACTATCAATAGCCCGAGCCGGCCGCCCATCCATTCCCCACCCAAACGGCCGCCTACCGCCCGCTACCCATCAGCAGCTCACCCACCCATACCTAGCTCGCCACCCATCCAGCCGCCCAGCTCTTCCCCTCACCCTAACTGGCCACCATCCCGGCACTTAGCTATGGGGTATAGCCGCCACAGTAGCGCCCCCCCCCCCTATGATTGCTTCCAACATATTAAATGGTACTCTATTTCCCAGGCCTGTAATTTTTAATTAAGACCTGGACAAACTCTCTCTCTCTCTCTCTCTCTCTCTCTCTCTCTCTCTCTCTTTCTCTCTCTCTCTCTCTCTCTCTCTCTCTCTCTCTCTCTCTCTCTCTCTCTCTCTCTCTCTCTCTCTCTCTCTCTCTCTCTCTCCTTTTTCCAGTTATCCAGTTCACCGGTGTGTGCGTGTGTGTGCGTGTGTGTGTGTGTGTGTGTGTTGCCATGGCGCCAGACAACTGGCATGCACATATTGAAACACTCACCCCCACCCCCCTCGCTTCCCCTCCTCCTCCCCCACACCTCTCTCTACCGCCCTCCCTCACATTCACACTCTCACACTATCTCTCACTTTCCCTTGATATTCACCTTCTCTCCCTCTCCTCTTCACACTCACACACACACTAACTTCTCTCCTCCCTGTCACACACACACTTTCTACCACTCACACTCTCACACAATCACTGACATACACTCTTCCTCTTTCCCTTCAATTAAGACTCTTCACCCTCGCTTCATAACGTATATGATAGGGTCTCTAACCTAACCTAACCTAACCTAACCTAACCTAACCTAACCTAACCTAACCTAACCTAACCTAACCTAAGGCCACGGATCATACGAGTAGGTTATTGACTCAGATGTGACCTAGGTGTGAGCTCGGGAAGTGTGACTCAGGAATGACTTGGAATTAGAACCTAGGTGTGACTCAGATGTGACTCAAGGTGACTCAGGTGTGACCCAGGTGTGACTCGGGAAGGTGATTCAGATGTGACTTTCAAACAGTGGTACAGAATTATGTGATACAAAATCCCTAATTGATTACAGTAGGGAGGTAATTAAGACACAGGTAAAACACACTGAGGTAAGGAGGTAATTAAGAGGTAAAACACTGAGGTAAGGAGGTAATTAAGAGGTAAAACACTGAGGTAGGGAGGTAATTAAGACACAGGTAAAACACACTGAGGTAAGGAGGTAATTAAGAGGTAAAACACTGAGGTAAGGAGGTAATTAAGAGGTAAAACACTGAGGTAGGGAGGTAATTAAGACACGGGTAAAACACACTGAGGTAAGGAGGTAATTAAGAGGTAAAACACTGAGGTAGGGAGGTAATTAAGAGGTAAAACACTGAGGTAGGGAGGTAATTAAGAGGTAAAACACAGTGAGGTGAGGTAGGGAGGCCAAGAGATTGCTAGTCTGGTGTAAAAATGTGTTTTGTGACCATGGGGAGGTGCTGATGTGGAAATTCATCAGGAAAGTCGTGAGCCAAACCAGAGCCTGACTGAGGGCATCTGGTGGTGGCAACACTCACCATGGCGATAACACATAATGATGACATTACCTTTGTGAATGTACAGTGCTGGAAAATGTTCTCGTAGGATCATTAATGTTGAATGTTTTGATAGTTTCTGGTGGGTTGAATGTCAAATCGAGGAGGTAAAATGCCCCAACAACACCACCACAGTCAGTTCATAGTGCCAACACCACCACAGTCAGTTCATAGTACCCTAACACCACCACAGTCAGTTCATAGTGCCAACACCACCAGAGTCAGTTCATAGTGCCCTAACACCACCACAGTCAGTTCATAGTGCCAACACCACCAGAGTCAGTTCATAGTGCCCTAACACCACCACAGTCAGTTCATAGTGCCAACACCACCACAGTCAGTTCTTAGTGCCTAACACCACCACAGTCAGTTCATGGTGCCCCTAACACCACCACAGTCAGTTCTTTAACACCACCACAGTCGGTTAACCAATTGCCAGCACCACAGTCAGTTCATAGTGCCAGCACCACCGCAGTCAGTTCATGGTGCTAACACCTGCAGTCGGTTCATAGTGCCAACACCACCACCGGTCAGTTCTTAGTGCCGCTACCACGGTCAGTTTCATAGTGCCAACACCACCACAGTCAGTTCATAGTGCCAGCACCACCAGTCCGGTTCATGGTGCTAACACCACCACAGTCAGTTCGCTTAGTGCTCCCTAACACCACCAGGTTAGTTCATGGTGCGCCAACACCACCACAGTCAGTTCATAGTGCCAGCACCACCACAGTCAGTTCATAGTGCCAGCACACCACGGTCAGTTCTTGGTGCCCTAACACCTGAGTTAGTTCATGGTGCCAACACCACCACAGTCGGTTCATAGTGCCAACACCGCCACGGTCAGTTCATGAACGCCCCTTACCGCACGGTCAGTTCATGGTGCCGCTTCCACCACGGTCAGTTCATAGTGCCTTACCACCACAGTCAGTTCATGGTGCCAGCACCACCACAGTCGGTTCATGGTGCCAGCACCACCACAGTCAGTTCATAGTGCCAGCACACACCACCACGGTCAGTTCATAGTGCCCAACACCACCCCAGTCAGTTCATAGTGCCAGCACACACAGTCAGTTCATAGTGCCAGCACCACCGCAGTCAGTTCTTAATTGCTTAGCACCACAGTCAGTTCATAGTGCCTTACCACCACAGTCAGTTCATAGTGCCAACACCACCACAGTCAGTTCATAGTGCCAACACCACCACAGTCAGTTCATAGTGCCAACACCACCACAGTCAGTTCATAGTGCCAACACCACCACAGTCAGTTCATAGTGCCAACACCTATGTAAATTCTTCCTTTACTGATCATAATTATAATACCTATGCTTTTGTAATTATTGTTGTTGTTGTTGTTTTATTTTTAGGGGATTCAACTGGCCTCTACAGTATGACTATTTAGCACGAGTCTTATAATCCTAAAAAACACACACACACACACACCACACACACACACACACACACACACACACACACACACACACACACACACACACACACTTGCACACACACTAAAAAGCCCTCAGTCTTTACTAAACATAAATACAGACAAAACTTATAAATTCATAAAAACTTGCATTAATCTTGCTGCCCCCCTCGCCGTGCTGCTGCTGCTGCTGCTGTGCCTGCAGTCAGTCATGTGGTATTGCTATAGGTTGGTGTGAGGTCATGCTCAGCTGGACCTCTGTTATTGGACACTCCTGCCCGCCCTCCGTCCGCCCTCTTTCCCTGTTTAATTTTGCCTCTTTCTTTTATGTCTTCTCTCCCAGATACACCAAACCCTCCTCACATCGTCCCTCGTTAACTAAACAACTCCCTCAACCTCTGGTCAACTGGTCCAGAACAGGAAAGGAAGGTGGCTCAATCTATCACCTTTTAACAGTGCTGATCAACCCCAACTCCCTCAAATAGTCAATAGTCTACCATACCCCTCAGATAGTCAATAGTCTCACTATAACCCCTCAGATAGTCAATAGCTCACCATAACTGCCCTCAGATACCCATCAATCTATTCTCAACTCCTGTCTCACTTCCCAACTCCTGTCTAATGCACATCAATCCCTGTCACCACCTGCCTGACTCAATCTCCGTCAACACCCGTATGATCTCCCTCAATCCCCGTCAACACCCGTCTGATCTCCCTCAATCCCCGTCAACACCCGTATGATCTCCCTCAATCCCCGTCAACACCCGTATGATCTCCCTCAATTTCCGTCAACACCCGTATGATCTCCCTCAATCCCCGTCAACACCCGTCTGATCTCCCTCAATCCCCGTCAACTGGTGGAAGGATAGACAGGAGACGGGAGGGATGGCGTGGTGCGTCACCTTTACCAAGTCTGACACATTTATGGGCGCCCCAGGACCCCAAACACCCACCTCATACACGCCTTGTTTAATGTTTACACGCCCACGTACGCCTTCTCCACGCCTACTGTTATTTTGTTTCCACGCCTCAACGTGTATTATTCTTTTGTTTATGTCATCTGTCCATCTAGTACTGCTAATAGTAATCCTCCTCTTCCTTCTCCTTCTCATCCTCCTCCCCTTCCCTTCCCATCCCTTCTTCTTCTCCTCTTCCCCCTCCTCCTTCTTCTTCTCCTCCTCCTCCCGTTAAGAGATCAGATAACACAGCCCAGAGCGGTGGGAGGTTATCACAGCTGATGATACCTGGAAAAATGACACAGCACAGCACAGCACAGATTTCCCCTCCCAAGATCAGTAAGATATCATCATACACCCTCCCCCCACATTCCTCCCTACCTCTCACCCTCCCCCTTATCTTGACCCTGATCCTCCCCCTGACCCTCTTTACCTCTCACCCTCCCCCCTCCCCCTTACCTTGGCCTGGCTATCTCTCATCCTCACGTACTTCTTGTTCACACGAGCTACCTCACCTGCAGGGCCCACCCACCTCACCTCACCTGGCCTCCGGGGGTAACTTGTCCAGGGGATTTGTATCAGATATTTAAAAAGGACAAAAAAATGCCACGAATTCTTACCTCACTTAATCCCCTGAGTGTGATTTAACCTCTTAAGTATAATGCTTTCTTAACCCCTCGAGTATAATGCTTTCTTGACCCCTAGAGTATAATGCTTTCTTAACTCTTTGAATATAATGATTTAACCACATACTAAAGTCACCCACCGTCACCCAGCAGCAAACCAGTCACTCACCGTCACCCAGCAACCAAAGTCACCCACTGTCACCCAACAGCAACCAAAGTCACCCACCGTCACCCAGCAGTCAAAACTGTCACCCAACGTCACCCAGCAGCAACCAAAGTCACCCACAACAAACCGGTCACCCAACGTCACCCAGCAGCAACCAAAGTCACCCACCGTCATCAAGCAACAAACCAGTCACCCACCGTCACCCAGCAACAAACCAGTCACCCACCGTCACCCAGCAACAAACCAGTCACTCACCGTCACCCAGCAACAAACCAGTCACTCACCGTCACCCAGCAACCAAAGTCACCCACCGTCACCCACTACCAACCAGTCACCCACCACCACCATACACCGTCATGGTCCACCAATCACAGGGTGCAGCTGCTCCCTGTGATACAAGACCAGGTGCACCCGTGGCTAACTCTGGGTAATTATTTCTCACTGGACAAAATCCACCATCCCCTCTGGACAAAATCCCTTACACTTACTGGTCAAAATCCCCTTCTTCCACGGGACAAAATTCCCCTCTCCACCACTGTGAGAGATGAGGGGTCATGTGTGTGTGTCTATATGTGACTTTGGGCACATATTTACCTCCCTATACTGTATATATCTACACAAGTGACTTTTTTCCTTATAGATGAATCATTGGTTCCATAAAGTGGGATTCGAACCAACGTCGATAAATATTAAGGAATCAATTTTTTTTTAAAGCCTGACTAAGGTCCCTTCGGTTCCTGGTACCAGAAGACGGGAGGATCGGGTCTGGCTGGAATCAGAGGCGGTAATCTGAGAAGGTTACCACGTGCTGCGCTGTTCTCAGTCCTCAGTACAGTATAGCACCAAATACATGTTCATCCATCACACCATCACCACCACCAGCCTCTACCCTCACCACCACTCACCATCATCACTCATCACCACCGCCATCACCTGCAGCTACCATCAACAATATTGTGTGTGTGTGTGTGTGTGTGTGTGTGTGTGTGTGTGTGTGTGTGTGTGTGTGTAGAAAAATGACAACCATCAGACAATTTGAAGTAAATGGTTCAGGGAGGATCTATATGGGAGACTTAGATGGATGATGATGATGATGATGATGATGATGATGATGATGATGATGATGATGATAACGATGATGATGATGATAACGATGATGATGACACTATAATCAAGTCAAAAATGCTCACTTCACACTCCTTCCTTCTCTTCCTCCTCCTCCTAGATTATCCTTCCTATCCGACCTCCTCTTCCTTCTCCTTCATCTCCTGTTTCTCCTCACATGTCCTTCCCATCCCTCTTCCACCTTCTCCCCATAACTCATCCCTCTCACCTCATCAATATTATTTATCTACGACACACACACACACACACACACACACACACACACACACACACACACACACACACACACACACATTCCTTCACTCTACATCAAACTATAACACGATAATTAACACTCAATCATACAGACTAACGACACGTACAGTAGTTAATGGTTTAGTTAGTTGCTCTAAAGTCTCAGTGCAATATGGACGCCATTTTACCTGTCGTCGTGGCGAATGTGAGCTTGTGTGTGTGTGAGACAAAAGGGTTAATTAATGGAAGCCAACGATAGTATAAGTAGTTGGTGATAGGAGGAGGAGAGTACCCCCCCACCCCCCCAGCACCAAGACCCACGGGCAGGTCCTCAACAACGCTATCTATCAGCTGGCGACGCCCCCTGATGAGCGGCTTCCTTATCTCCAGCTGTGAACAATGACCGACACAGATACGCCGCCCCTCCAGTCAAAGGAGTGAAGGGAAAACAAAAGTAATCGCTAGAGATATGACCGGCACGAGTCGTCAGGGTGTGTGTGTGTGACCTAGGGTAGAGTGAAGATCAGAATCGCCGATGGAGGTTCAGGAGGAGTTCCCACGCCGGGGTCCTTTCCTCTCCCCCAAACGACTCACCCATCTTCACCCCCCGTCTCACCCCCCACCTCCGACTCACCAACCCTCCGTCTCACCACCACGACTCACCTCACATCACCCCCAACTCACCCCTCCTTACCCCCACGACTCACCCCTCCTTGAACTCATCAGTGACACGTCTTAACCCTTTCCATACGTTAGTTAATGATTCTGGTGAAACTAAACATAATATCCGCTCCTGAAGGTCTTGTTATGATCGCTTCTTCCTCTCTCTCTCTCCCCTACCCCCCTACACCTCCCTCACATCCTACCCCTCTCTTCTTCCCTCTCTCTTCCACCTCTACCCCCCCCCCATCCTCACCACCTAGCCTCCTCCCTCCCCCACCAACCTTGTCCATGACAGACCAGGTGCCAGCTGTCCTGCCTGCTTGACCACCCCTCCCTCCTCATCACCCCCCCCATCCCCCCCTCCTCCCCAGTGGCTGCGCGTCCCATCCCCTAAGGCCAGAGTCATGGATAACATCAACAGTACTCTCAACCTTACGGCACACCAGCTTTAACTTACCCCCCTCTATCTCTCTCTTCCCCGTTCCCTTCTTTCTCTCTCCTTTTCCCTACCACCACCACCTCTCCTCTCGTCTCCCTTCCTCCCCTCCGATACGATTAGATATACAAGACATGTCTACAATTAATTACACACCATTATTATCAACACACACACACACATACAGGTACAGTTAATCGCTAATTTATATGCAAATTACCATGATATAAAATTTTCACCTGAACTAATCAAAACTTCTTAAAATGGAAAAGAGGAAAAAAAAATGATTCAACAACTATACCTTTGAGGCTATCGTGTGCCGTCTATAAAGCTGATAACTCTTATCTGTGGTCAGGCAAGAGACGACCATAGTGTCCTACAGCTGCCATGACATAATTCCCCCCTATCACGTCGCCAACCCTCTATGGGTTTTTATGCTTAATGAAACTCTATATACCATTAAACATATGCCACCATGTTGTCGTCATAATAAAAGCTGGTGGAAACTAAACACGGGTACCAATATGTGAAGGTAAATAAAATAAGGCGAAAGGAGGCAGCTACCCGCCTTGCTCTGCTCCCACAGTCACAGAGGAACAATGCGCGTGCCAGGGTGTTAAGGTTCAGGGGATGGTTCAAGGTGTCTAGGAAATACGACCTTAGGAACCCCAGCCACACGGTAGCTCCCATCACCCCCACACCCCTGCCCCATCCCCACCCCACCCCAGATCTCCTCCCCCTCCCCACCCCAGATCTCCTCCCCCTTCACACCGCCCAGCCAGATGTTCAAACACCACCACCACCACCTTCCACCTCTTCCTCCTCCTCCTTCTCTTCCTCGCTTTATCATCCTTCTCTCTATTTCTATCATCTTAAATCTTATAATTGTTTCACTTAGCTTAAAATCTAGTGAATCTTCTCAAATTTCTGTCAACAACCATGCATTAAAAGTGCCACAAAGGAGCCAACCTATAACCAATGTACTGAATGGGGCAACCTAACCTAACCTAACCTAACCTAACCTAACCTAACCTAACCTAACCTAACCTAACCTAAATGACATGAGATACAGTACAAACAGACTAGACACCCAACCAGGTCGTTATTATTATTGTTGTTCACTATCTATCTATCTATCTATCTATCAAATAATAAAATAAATAAAATAAATAAAGGTATAGTATATATCAGGTGCCTACAGGAGCGCTCTAGTTCTCAGCCATGTTAATATTGTTATTATTATCCATTCTGTATCTGTGTTTTTCTGGCTAAATAAACTGTTACAATTCAATTCTTTCTATCTATCTATCTATCTATCTATCTATCTGTCTGCCTGTCTGTCTGTCTGCCTGCCTGTCTGTCTGTCTGTCTGTCTGTCTGTCTGTCTAGCCAGCCACTTCCCCATCCTCCTCTGCCACGCGCCAGCAATATGATGTTGGCGCGCGCTGGCCTCGGGCTCCATCCCTCCTTCTCTCCTTCCCTCCACCCCGCCCCCCCTATCCCTCCACCCCCCCTCTCCCTCACCCCAGCAGTCACCGCCTGCATCTGTCCACCAGTGACCCCCCCCACACCACTAGATTTTTGGGGCGCATATCCTAGGAGGGAAGGCAGTGTAGACGGAGGGTGGGAAGGAGGGAAGGTAGGGCAGTGGGAGGGAGGGTAGGGCACTAGGAATGTGTGAGGGTAGGGCAGTGGGACAGAAGGATGAAGGGAAGGTGGGTGGGTAGAACAGGAGGGAAGGAGGGAACGTAGGAGAATGGGAAAGAAAGAGGGAGGGTAGGGCAGTGGAATGGGGGGAAGGAAGGATGGAAGACTAGAGGGGGAAGGGAGGGCAGCACGGATGAGAGAGAGGGAGGGAAGGAAGAATAGATGGATGGAGGGAAGCATGGAGGGAGAGAGGGAGGGAAGCATGGAGGGAGAGAGGGAGGGAAGCATGAATAAAAGTAAGAATGGAGAGATGGAGGGAAGCATGGAGAGAGGGAGGGAAGCAGATGGAGGGAGGGAAGTATGGATGAAGGGAAGAATGGAGGGTAGGAGGGTGAGAAGGAGAGAGAGAGAGAGAGAAGGATCAGGCCCCGGTGCCCCTACACTCATAAAGGGCGTCAGGTTCCCCACACAAGGATATTGATGAGGTCCTGAACTGCCGTCTACCACCGCCTTTATCCTCCTAGCTCATGGAACAAAAATCCTACAGAAGAAAATACCGTCGGGGGAACAAACTCTAATGAACAAAATTAAAATTAAATGGTACAACAAAATCCGTGTGTAATTTTTTTTGTCCTTGTGGATAAAAGAAAACCCTTAAATGAGCAACTGGACAAAATAAATAAAATCCGGTATTAGGGTTAACGAAGAAAATCCCAATGGACAAAATCCCAACAATCATTATCAACTGTTGTTCTCTTATTTGATTGGCAGTGGGATTTTGTCTAGTGGTAAAGTCAGGAGGGATTTTGTCCAATGGGATTTTTTCCATGTGAGAATTTGCAGAAATGGGATTTACTCTAATACCGGGTTAATTTACAAAGGAAGTGTGGCCTCCGAGGGTGAGTGACTGAAGAGAGTCATATCAAGTCCCACTCATAGGTACTCTAATCCTCAAACGAGTCCTGTGTGAGAGTCGTCTTATACTTGAGGTACTTTGAATTGATATCCTTAAGTACTCAAGGGTTAAGTCATCGTACTCAGGGGTTAAAGTCATCGTATACTGACGGCTAAGTTAACGTACTCAAAGGGGTAATCATCGTACTCAAGGGGGTTAACTCATCGTACTCAAAGTTATCTGTGAAGGAAAAACTGCCAAACAAATTGGGATTCGAACCAAGTCACCCAAGCCATGCAGGAGAACGACTGAACGAACACATCTGCCCATCGGAAAACAATAACATTACACAGGTCAGAGAGAGAGAGAGACCCTCACCCCTCCACACAACCCCTTCCTTCACACATACAAATCTCCCCCACATAACCCCCCACACACACACACCACAACACACACATAACTCCCCGACACATAAACTCCCACACACAAAACACCTCCCCCCTCCCATCCCCCCTTCACACACACGCCCCCAGTCCCCCATCCCCTTCACACACACAACCACACAAACTTCCCCGGGAAAATATTGCTAATAAGGAGCTTACCCAGAAAATGTTGCAAGGCAGTAATGCAATATTGGAAAACATCTTGGCCAACAGCAGC